ACAACTCAAATCTCACCTATTTTTATCAGTTAAATTCTTGGCTTAGGCAAGCATAAGTGGAATGTGTGTTTATTTTGGGTATTCATTTCCCCAGCATAGTTTTTCTCCTACACGGTCTAAAATCAAACGTACTGAGAGAGGAAAGGGCTTATTTGCTTAGGGCACATGTCTTAGTGATCGAGAGATTAGGACCGATCCTTAGCAGAAATGTTGATTATCTAGGTCCTCAGCTACTTTTCAAGGAGTTTTTTCCCCCAGAAGAGAATCTACTTGATGGGCAAATGGATTTGCCAGGAGATTCTCCTCTCCTTCCAAGACTTGCTTCAATTAATAACGAACTGCTAAAGGAGTCTTGGACTTAGACATATATCTTACCAACTAAGAGTTCTCTCAGTCATGACTCTTCAGACGTAATAGCTCTAATGAAAACAAATAATCATTACTGAGTAGTGCTTCTTGCAAGAGATGATCGGCTGGATACATGTATGTTTGGAAATACATCTGTAGTTTAAAGATGAAGGTAGTGGGATACTTGAGGTTGCAGTATTTACTTTACTATGCTTCCAGGAAACCTATACAAAAAATTCACTTGATCTATACTTTACATGGGGTTAGTTATAACAGGCCTAAGAAAGACCAGTGATATACTTCCCTACAACAGTGTCCTAAAATTTGTTTGGTATGCAGTAATGGATTACATGCTTATGAGGTTTTAAAAGAAGGATAGCATACATTTTAAGCAAAAGAACTAGCTTGTGGCTACCCTAAGGTCCCAACTAGCTCAATGATTCTCTGACTATTAATGGAACAGATCTGTCATTAATTCTTGGAGAAAACTATCAATCTACATTTTTCTAGAGAGAAGGCCATGCATATGTCATGCTCTAAGTGTGATATGTCCATATATATGGGGACTTTTCATTATAAATATTATTGTGATCTCATACAGAGCAACTGTAAAGTCTATTTGCTTTTCAAGTAAGAAAATATGTATTTGGAAAGCATGTACACATCATATACATTTACCCAGATATTGCTGGCAAAATTCATTATGCAGGAAACTTTTTTCTTTGCTCAAATACACAACAATCAAGTCATAAAACACAGAACCAATAGCCAATCAATAAAAAAATATGCCTGCCTTTGGGCTTAATTCAAGCAAGCCATTCATTGAGCTAATGTGATGGACCTGTCAAACCCAGTACAGCATTACAGACATTCTAGCAACATCAAGTGAACATGCAATGACAAATGACAATACACCCCTTCGCCATGCTTTGACTGGCTGTCTCACAAAAAATCTAATTTGATAGCTTTGCCAGTTTTCCTTAAATCACACTTGAAATACATAAGAAGTAACTGTTTGCTTGGGTGAGATTGGATACTTATCAAATGTGTCTTATATTCCAAGGAAAAGATATTATTATACACCTCTTAATTATTTTTAACAAACCCTAAAATTTTATTATGCCAACCAGCCCTATATTATATGCTAATCTCTGCCCAAACAGGACATCTTCATTCTTACAGACAGATTCTCAGAGCCATTAAGAATGCCTAAGGTCAATATCAGGTGATCTGTTAACTAAAGACTATTGTGGAGAATCTATGAGGTGCTTGTCTCAAGAGCCTTTTGAATAGTTCCAAGAAAATTGTAGTTCAATTTCTTCAAAGGCCCAGAATCTTTAATTTGATGAGGACTTCGTGCTGAGAAAAGGTAAAATTTTGCCACAGTGGGAAACGATAATCTTCAGCACAGATCTCTTGCTCTCAAGAAGTCACGGAGAGTGATGTATGATTACAGGGTAAATGCCAGAGTTAATTTGTTAATAGTTCACATGATGGCAGGTGTCTGTCTTTATTCTACTGCTGAGCAGTAGATACTATCAAAGCCTTCTTCATTCCTGTACCTCTCTAATGTTAAAAGATTTTTTGTTTCTTTAGAATTTTCTCTCCCACCCAGCTTGAGTCTCTTCTCTCTTAGTTGCTTCTCATTACTGATGTCTTGATGTTTTGCTGGACAAGGGTACCATTATACAGGGTGTCCCAAAAGTTTTAGTGTGGTTTTAAGCTTTAATAGACTTTTAGGACATCTTGTATAACTAGACTAAGAGAAAATTCTAGATTAGATGTTGCTAAATAACTTTGTGTGCTCAATCTAAATTCATGAATTATTTTATTAATCTCACATTTCCCCCCCAAATACATATTTTGTCCAAATAGGCCTCCCTTTCCCTATTCCATTGCTAAGGAGGGCTTGTCACAAAATGTACCCTTGCAATTTGTCACACATACATACACTTTACAAACCACACCATAAATAGCATTTTAAGAATGATCTTTTCATGGCAATTTAGGGTACCATCCATTGCATTTGCCTTGATGTTATATTTTCATGTGCTGTAAGTATTATGTTAAAAAATAAGTTAAATTGGGATTTATACTCAATATCAAAAGCAATCAATTAGACCAGATGTGCAAGACCTGCCTATTGTTTGAATATCAAAAAAGGACTGTTACACAGATAAGTGAATATTCCAGTAGTTTTTCTGAACTAAAAGTGCTGCACTAAAGTAGGAATTACGTATTCAAATTTTACCAATCTAAAATTAAGGGCCATTGCCCGGTGATATGTGTGGGCAATAAAAATATTTAAACCAAATAAGAAGCTACTTTACACATAAATTCACAAATTCTTCTCCTTTATAAAACTTCGATGAAAACTTTAATTTGTAGGAGGTAAATGCAGTTCGAGGCATCCAAATTGTCAAATAATTCCATAAAAGAAAAACATTACATTATTTATTTTAAAATGTTTAAGAAGCTGTCATGGAAGAAAGCAATTAAATTATAGATTTATAGTTAACCTTATTCAACCGGGGGGAGATAAGGTCAAGTATACACTTATTCTGACAACATGGATAAAAACTCAGAAATAAATACATTGAAGAATCTTATAATTATACAGAAGGCTGAAATTATTGTCATTATAATTACACACAATGTGAATATTTGAAAATTTAGCATACTAGATATATTGTCATAAAGTAATTTAGGGTTTTAGTGCATTACTAATGATTGATAACATGAGAATTTTCTGTGTGCAAACTGTAATGTCACGGAATCTTTTCATTTATAGAGCTATCCTGAGTTTGTCAATTTCACCATTATCTTAATTAGCCTTGTTGACCCTGTCTGTCTTCTCATCCAGCATCAAAAAATTCTGAAGACAGAAGTATATTTAAAATTTGATATTTTACCTTTGGCATATGATTATTTTAGCTTTATTCATTTAGAACTGCATCCTGACAACTGTTTGATTTCTTTGGAGGTCTCCTATAGTCTTGAAAACTTTCTTGGGAGGGTGGAAGAAGGAAAAAAGCCCAAACCAACAATACTCTATGCTCCAAGAGATAGTGAGATCTGAACTGTAGTTGCCTAAATGGCCTTAAAAAAAGTTTGGTTTTGTGATTGCTAAAATATAGCTTTTAAGGATCAGGAACTTATCTGGCTTTATAAGATCACACAAGAATACTATAGCTGCAACATGCTAACAACAGACCTTTGTGAAAATGGAATGAAAACTACTGATTAAGCACGCCACTGTTAACCTTATGGAGGAACTGAGAGACGACAGGCCAGGCGTATAGAGTAGTGCCTGCTGCTGATGTTACTGGTTCAGGAGTGTCATATAAAGTAACTTGCTTACCTGTCTGATAGATAACAGCATGCCTCAGCCACACATGCAATTTTTATTTATTCATGAAACATTGTTTAATTTTAAAAAAATGTCATTACCAGAAGAAGCACTCTTTATGGCAACTAAGCATGCAGAGCATTTTTAACATTCACAATGTGTCCTCAGAAAATGGAATCGACGAATTGCATTTAATTGAAATACTGTTTTCCAGGGGACCTGTTGTTATGGCAATGGATACAAAAATTACTACTGACTTCCTACTTATGGCACTGACCCTACTGACCCTACATTAACTTCTCAATCTCTCTCTCTCTCTCTCTCTCTCTCTCTCTCTCTCTCTCTCTCTCTCTCTCTCTCTCTCTCTCTCTCTCCCTCCCTCCCTCTCCCTCTCCTCTCTCTTTTCCTCTTTCTCCTCATCTCTCTTCCTCTCTCTCCTCTCTCTTTTTCACACACACACATACATACAGCCTTTCTGTATTGTGACACAATTCCTAGCACACTAGGACAGTCTCTAACTTCAGGTAAATTCTGACACATTCTTGTTCTGAGTAATGTCTGGGCATGACCAAAACCAGCCTATTTTCTTTTGACTGCTACATATGCCCCCTCTTCACACCTTACACTCCTCCCCTCCCCCCTGCTCCAGACTGAGAGCTGAATCTTTTTGTTTAACTCCTAAATTTAAAAAATATAGTGAAGGAAATCTTTGTCCTGATGCAAAAGGGGAAAGACTTGCAAGGTAGGTCACTACCTGAATGGTTGTCTTCCACTTTCTGCCTCAGAGTTAAACAAATAGCTATTACTATTAAACCTTGTCATGTGACCTTTGACAAGACACTTAACTTTTCTGGGCCTAAATTTCCTCATCTGTAAAATGAGGAGGTCAGACAAGTTGAGACTGATCTTGAAGGTGCCTTTCAACTCTGAGTCTGTGAATCCATAAAATGATGTTGGTGGTGGACTATGAGGTAGCATGTGTGTGTGTGTGTGTGTGTGTGTGTGTGTGTGTGTGTGTGTGTGTGTGTGTGTGATATGTACTTGTGTGTGGTGAGATCTGGAGAGTATGTTAAGGGGCACAAACCATCTCTGCCTAATGAGTTATGACAGAGACCTAGAATTTTATCTGGTTAAAGCATTCATACTCCTCTTTTATAGTTCTATAATAACTGGTATCCATACAACTGAATTTTTCTGTGTTTTCTCTACCACTCATGCAGCTTCATCAAGATCAAGGTATAATATCCTTTCTCATCAATTTCATAAATGTACAAATCCTTATCAATAATAAGAGAGGACTTACCTGTCACTGTAGGCAGCCGCAGTGGCGGTGGCGGGTTGGGCATACCGGTAGGCAGCATAACCACCCTAAAAAAAAAAGTTTGACATGAGGAAGGCAAAAACATCAAAAGCATTATTAGCTGACAGACACTGAAGCAATGCTCGAAGGACTATTACACAAATACTATCATTCCAACTACAAGGTTAATTTAAACTAAATACATAGAGGTATAAGTAATAATCACACTGGACAGTTAAATAGTTTAGTATCAACCCCATTTGCATGTTACGGTTTAAGCTTTAAATAAATCTATCTATAGGAATGTTCTTTGGATGCAAGTTTTCTATTGAACTTTCACATACACATTTTGTATGGATGTTATTTATTCTTACATGTGAATACTAATACTGTTTAGTCAACATTTCTCAACATTCAGTATGGAAAGATTTTTTTAAATTAACATTTTCAGCCAATGATAAGTCACACACCATGACATATCACTAGGATTCAGCCAGTGTATTTGTTTTATGTTGAAAACATGATAAAGTCTTCTAATTTGTAAATAAAATCATTATTGTGAAGGAATGTGAAAATAATTAACATTCACTTGTATGTAACAGTAATTGCAGCTGTTCAATTAAGCAAAGAGGACAAGCGAATGTACGTATTTGAAAGGAACTGTGAGCAGTGATGCATTGATTTATCAAACTACAAAAACAGCAGAGCTTCTTGCTCAATAGACCATGGTGATGCATCAGCCATTTCCAAGTGATCTTAGCACAATTAACAAATGGGACCTAGTCTCCATAGATAACACAAAGACCACTCAGATTCTAATGATAATTCATCATCCCATGATTCCCTGGAATCATGCCCCACACCTAACATATAAGACTCACTGCTGGGATGACATAACCATTGGCCAGGCCATACCCATAGTACTTAGGTCAGAGGGACTCTCGTACTGAGTCAGAACAGGGGAGTCCAAATTAGCAGGTATTCAGTGGGAACTTCTTTTGGCTTTCAATTTTTGCTGTATCAAGTTGGGGACAGGTTAGTGAGAAATGAGGAGGCAAAAGATGGAAAGTGCTCTAAGTAAATCCTGCTATTTCTTCAGGATATGTTAGTTCAACTTGGTTGGGGATCAAATTCGAAACTAGAGTGTAATGGCGATTGCCATGCATTAACACCACCTTTGCAGTCCCTCAGGGCTGAACCAAGACAATCTTAAATTTCATGAGAAATTGTCCCATTAAGTCATTTTGATAGGGGACCATTGGTACTTTGGGACAAAAATACTTGAAGTTAAAAAAAAAAAGGAGTTAAGAGAAAAGGTCCAAGAGACCACTGTGTGACTAAAACAGTTTGCCTTCCAATCAAGGATCAGAAACTGGAATAAAACTAGTTGAGTAGTTTGTTCTAGGACTGGATCAAATATCATAAAACCAAAAGTACTTCTCACACTGGTAAAAAGTTAAATTTTCTGCCAAATGTCATATTACAGGATAGGGATACAGAGATTTAGAGTTCTTTATGCTGTTTCACTTGTGCTGTTTCTCAGCTTTTATATTTCACAACCAAGGACCAAGTGTACAAGCAAATGTTTTGAAAGTCAGGTTAGGCCAAGAATTGACTGGTAGATTTCTGGGAGGCATTAACAATGAAATACATTTGAGATGTGAGTTTCCAGAATATATTCCACCAGTACTCTCATGGCTCAGAAATTATGATTCAGTGAGTATAATAGCTCAGTAAATATTTTTGTGGTCCCACATCTCTCCAACAATACTTAGAATCTGATGTGAGTCAACAACTGTGACAAAGATGGGAGTGGTAGAAACTAATATCTTGAAAATGCCTGAAAATAATTCACATGGTCTGTGTTGGCATGTTCAGACTTTATACGACATCTATGCCATTATATTTGTGGTTCTTCTCTCCAATGAATACAGCCCCTTGGAAATTTTTAATGGAGTCCTTTAGCCATATTTAATGGATATGGTCATGCTAGGAGACATTTCTGGCTCTCCATAAGACAGAACAATGAACTGGATCCTTTGTTTCTTAGAAGTCTATTCAAAGAATCTCTCACTTATACATCAAGGCAACAATTTATAAAAGTCCTAAAGAGACAATGGGTCTAAAATAACAGAAGTACATTTTGGTCTTGACCATAAATCTAGCTGATAACTGAAACATGTCAAAAAGGGGTAGGGGGAGAAATTAAGTGTCTAGGAATCTTGATGTCTGCATTTTGAGAAATTTTTTCTTTGAATTTTTTTCCCTACGAAATTCCTATTAAGAGCATGACATATTTGTGCATTAACTCAGTGTACATGTGCACATACTGTAAAATAATAAAAAAAAATTACAAATTACTTTAATTTGCTTCTCTAACAGGTGACTCTAATCAGTTTTATTGCCTCATATTTTGTAGCTCACTGAGCATAACCAGAGCTCTTTCAAGGTTCCACAGAATTGTCTAGCAAGGAGAGTTCCTAACTACCCAGTAGCCAGGCTAGTTTCACATAGAATTGGTTCCTCAAAATAAATGACATCTTTTGGCAATTGTGAGGTTTTGTTTTTTGTTTTGTTTGTTCATTTTTTTTTGGGGGGGGGCTATTATCACTATACAGGAAAACAATAGAATGCAGAATGCAGAGTTTAATTTTGCAATGTTACTTATAACATTTATTTCTCAGATTCTGTGGAAGAAATATAAAGTTCTTTGTAAACAAATTTAGTTATTTTAAAGTGCTGTAGTATGAAATCCTATATACAAACATCAAAAGTCAAATTCCTCCATTTCTCACTGGAGAAATTGATACCTAGGGGTAGCTAGGTGGTGCAGTGGATAAAGCACTGGCTCTGAAGTGAGGAGGACCTGAGTTCAAATCTGGCCTCAGACCAAACACTTGTCACTTACTAGCTGTGTGACCCTGGGCAAGTCACTTAACCCCAAGTGCTGAAAGAAAAAAAAAAGATATTGATAGCTAGAGTAAGACCACTAGGAGCCCATTTGTAAAGTTAATTTCATAATACTTGAGTGAAGTGAGTGGTATCAAACTCAAAAAGAAATGGTTTCATGTGGGCCACATATTGACTCAGAAAATCACAAGTTAACAGTATCTATGTCGTACTGTAGTTTTATATATTCTGTCAAACATTTCCCAGTTACGTTTTAATCTGGGTGCAGTGGCTCTCAGCCTCTTGCTATCTGCAGATGCAAATTTGACACCTTTGCTCTGGTGCCTTGGGTAAGTAATAGGAATTTTCTGAGTTATCTAGGGTGAGGCAAAGGAAATCTGAATCTGTTCTATAGGTGGCTATTGGGTCCTAAAAACTATAGCATAGCTCAGTAGAAGCATTCTGTATTAAAAATTCAGTTGGACTTCATTTTGTACATTAGGGGCCTTAGGGATAATGTGCTCCTTTATATGGCTCAATTTGCTATAAATCAATTTATATTCTAAATGTACCAGGGAGATCTTTCTATTTAAAAGTACTCTTAAGCAAATCCTTTTATGAAATGAAATATAGCTCGGCTAATTTATCTGTTTAATAACTTGAGGTTTTCACATACTTGGTTTTCTTAAGATGGGTAGGCAGAAGATGGGGGGAGGGAAGGAGAAGAAAGGGAATGCTGCTGAAACCCTGTAAGTTGGTCTTAAGAATATGACATGCTTCTACATGCCTGGACCCAAATTTTTAAAATTAGAATTTTCTCTAGAACTTTAGAAACTCCTATGAAGAAAAACGAATTTATTTGTTTAAGAATCTTTAACCTGAGCTATCATCAATTTTTAATGAAGATGGCTAGTAACTAGCAAAGAAAGACTAATTTGAGTTGTCTTAAAATGCCTACTTTCACTTTCTTGGGTCTATTTTTATTATCTGGTTTCACTGAAGTTCAAGATGACAGTGGCCAAAAGTTGTGCATCTTCAGGCAGCCAAACACTAATAGTTCCACTACCTCATTTCCATTTGTAAGATCAGTGACTTTAACAAAATCCACCAACCCAGGGAATTCCTTCGATATGGTAAAGAATGTTGGGTAAATGAGAGCAATGTGTGGGCCCAGATTAGAATGATGCAGAGAGTGCTTGGTCCTACTGCATTAAAGCAGAAAAACACTAAGCTGAGTTTGAGGCTTAGTTTAGGTTACTGGTTTAACTATTTGGATTGAATTTGGGAAATCCACTCACTATGGCAAATACCTAATCAATTCAGTGTAACAACCAATTTTATTCCCTGAATTGTTGAGCAGCTTCAGTAAAATCACCAAATCAACCCCTGGTTGTAGGACTGGACAAATATGGCAAAATACGGCTTTAAGCTGAGCATTTCTAGGGAAGAAACAATTGGTGTGGCTATTCTGTCTCTTCTGGAGATTTTAATGATCCATCCTGATTGATGTGTAGAGTACAGATAGGCGATCTACCATTGTGTTGTTTAGTATCAAGGTGTGAAGCCAGGTAAAGTGACTGTAGTGTCTGGGCTATGATTTGGGTCAGTATAACTATGGTCTGAATGTTAGAAGATAAATATAAATTTTTAGATATTAATTTAGATTCTATAATTAATAAAAATCAAAACTGGAAAATGTCATTGCCTAGGTCCTTCCTTCTTTGCCTGTATGGAAAAAAAAGGTCCCCCACCCCATAGTTTTCTTGTTAGTAGGATTTCACAGCAAATCCACAGTCAAAGTGATGAGTTTTTCCATCAGTTGGGACTTCATACCTGCAGTAATTTATTGCCATACACAGGCTCTTGATACACTACTCTATAAGGAAACAGAAATGTAATGTTTTCAATGCAAAAAATGGAATAAATAAAAATGCTTCAGTCAGACAAAATCCCAGAGCAATTCATTTACAAGTTTGCTTCTACTAATATATAGATCAACCTACACATAGCTATACATACATGATAGGTGTGATGATAACCAAATGCCAAGACATAAAAAGATATTTTCTGAATCTTAATTGTGATTTTATGTGAATTGGGAATTCATAAGAAAGAAAAGTAATGCAAAACACATAAAATGCAATTGCTATATACGGTATGGACATGCTTTTTTTAAAAAAAGAAATGATAATTTCATGGCTTCTGATTCCTCAGTACATATTTAAACAGGTCATATTAACTACTCATTTGTAAAAGCCATATTCGTGTCTTCAGTTTCATATAAGACTTTAGATTGTGGGCTAATTACTGTGAATAAAGTAATACAATTTTGGTGAGGTCCAAATTTGGGCAAATAGTGCCCTGCAGTAGCAGCACGTATTCAAATTCACACTATACAAAATTATAATTATGTAAAATATAGTTGTTTATTTTATTGGAATAGAAATATGAAGTCCAAATTTGAATACCACTACCATTTAAAGGGATTAATTTATTCATACTAATTATGCCCTCACTATAATAGTACTAGTGTGATCATATTTAACTATATTTTCAACAAATTGAAATTGATAAAAGACCCACAAAGTTTTGTTCATTTGGCTCAGCTTGAAAACTAAGAACACAATGAAGTAAAGAAGTTACCATCCTGCCCTGTTATTTTTAGTTCTTTTTCATAAAGGACATTAAATGATATCCTTTTACAGTAAAGGAGAACACACTTGCGATAGGTGTTTCATTTAGGCCTAACACATCTTTCACGCACTGGCTAGATTACTTTTTGTCTTCTGTGCATGATGGAACACACTGGTGTGGGGGGGGAACTTTTGGCTAGAAAAAAATATTTAAGGGTAGGTGTGTTTTTTCATGTGACAGGAGAGATTCTACCCCAATTCCTCAAAGGTCTAATACAGATACCTAATTGTAAGCACCCTATAGAGCCCTGTCTTAAAAATGTGTGTGTGTGTGTGTGTGTGTGTGTGTGTTTTGTGTTTTGGATTTTTTTCTTAAATTAATTTCATTTAATGCAACAACCTATATTGAGGTCAACAAATTGTTGACCTTTTGCATTGAAGAGGTAATGACTGATTCTCTTACATTTTTCCCCCTCACCAAAATTAAGGAATAGCCTGCCTTGTTCTACTTGTAAGATACTTCAAAGTTAAGAGCCACATCTTATATGTTTGTGTTCTCTTTCTCAAGCCAAGTGTTTAACATAGTACTTTGTGCATAACAGGTACTCAGTCAGTATATTGAATGGAATAGAACAGATTTATGCTAAGGTCAGAGGTCAGGAAATCAGAACTTCCGGTACTTATTACTGAGCTATCCTTGTCCCTTCAGTCTTACTATGTCAATTAAGCCCCCGGTACTCCTTCTTGGCTTTCAGATCCATGGATGAAAGGCATTACTTCAATTAAAAAATGGTAATTAGCACTGTTGTCAACCAGGGCCTTGAGGATTATAGGATGACCTTAAGACTACCCAGTTTAAACCTCCTTTCTTTACAAATGAGGAAACTAAGGCCCAGATTGGTAAAGTGACTTCCCTAGATAATATAATTAGTAAGAAGCAGAGTCAGAATTTGAACCAAATGTTTTGGCTCCAAATCTAATGTTCTTTCCACTGTATCATACCAATCTGAAGTACTGAGTGATAATATGATTTTATATAATATTTTCTATTATTTAAGCTACTGCATTTTATTTATGTGCTGTGATGATATTGTTCTAGAACCTCATTACAACATTATTTGCTACAGTGTTGTTGTTTAGCCGTTTCAGTCATGTCCAACTCTTTGTGATCCCATTTGGCGTTTTCTTGGCAAAGATACTGGAGTGGTTTGCTGTTTCCTTCTCCAGTTCATCTTACAAATGAAGACACTGAGTCAAACAGGGGTAAATAACTTGGCCAGGATCACAAAGCTAGTAAATGTCTAGGCCTGGATTTGAACTCAGGTCTTCCTGACTCTAGGCCCAGCACTGTCTCCACTGCGCCCAAGCTGCCCTACACTTTAGCATTTGTTATAAATTGAGTCTATGTTGGCTGTGATTTAAGGGAGTTTAATTGCTGAGGAACCAAACAGAAGTCTCTTATGATGTATAAGAAAAGTCCTATGATATGGACTCCTAAGAACAATGTTGGCATGAGGCTTCCCTTTGGGCCATCCACAATTTATCAGATCTGGTGATTCTGTGCTTGCTTCAGAAGTCATGCTGTTTCAAGGCACAAGCAACAAATTCATTTTAAGGTCACAAACCAGTTTCCTCTCTATTCATAGCCATTTCATCCATCTGAAGGCAAATTTTAATGCCCTCTGCCTTCTAAGGCAAACTGAAATAAGAGTCTCACAAAGGGTGGCACCTTCATGACTCCAGTAAATTGTTGTTATCACATACATCAATATTTTACCTAATGCTTTTCTTTTCCTTTGTCTCTCCCTCTCTCTCTCCTCTCTTGCCTTTCTTTATACTAGCTGTTATTTTATTGCTACCACTAACAACACATGCTCCAAATGAACAACCTTCTGGACACAGGAGTTCTCCTATAATGTTTACTAGTAGAACTTGCTCGATTTCACTTTATCTCATCTTTTAAGCAGTTAATTTTTTGAACACTGGGGGATTTTTTTCTTTTTCCCTTTAAAATTCACATAGTCCATCTCTCTCCAAATCACCTAGAATTCTGCCTCATTGCTATAACACCTGACAGTTCTATAGTTTTCCATATGTTGTACCCTTGTCAAATATGTGACTGTATCCCCCAAAGAGAATTAATTCCTATGCATGTAGCCCTTTCTGCAGATGGACTGATTCTTCTTTCCTCCTGGTCTATAAAGAATCAGTGAATCTAAATGTAAAACTGAGCAGGGGTTGGGGAGAAAGGGCAGCAGTTAAAGCAAAACAAATATATTCTATCAGCGTATTTCAAAATAGCTATTTTTAAAAAATTAATCAACGTAGGATAAAGCTTTATACCAATATATCCTTGCACATATTATACAAATACAATTTTTAAATCCCCTATAAGTGTGATGGCATCAAATGATAGAGTTTAGCTGCATGTGAAAAACAAAACAAAACACTAAAACAAACAAGCAAAAAACCTTGTAGAGACTTCCCTTAGTGACTGTACAGGTTACTACTCCCTGACAGCAACCACCAAAGTTTTCTATTCCTGGCTAGCCGAAGGACTTGGTGTAAGTCACACTGTGCAGGAAATTTCTTAGGGAAGGCAGCAGTGCTGAGTGAATAAAGTTGCCAGTCTTAGGAGTAAGGAAATTGGATTTGAATTCTACCTACAACACTTATTAGTTGTGTTAACTATGCACAAGTCACTTGACTTTTCCAAGTCTAAATCTCCTCATCTGTAAAATAGGAATGGTACTTGTGGTAAATGTCTTACAAAGTTGTTGTGAAACTCAAACTCTGAATATAAAGTGTTTTGCAAATCTTAAAGCACTATATGAATGTCAATTATTATAATGGGAAATATCTAAAAACTGGAATTTAAAAGTCTGAGCTAACATATCTCTCATACACTGCTCATCAAAATGTTTCAAAACCTTGAATAAGGCAATAGTAATAATGACAGCTTTGACTCATTCCTAACTGCACAGAATCTTAAAAGTTGAAAAGTACCTTAGAGGCCAATCTTTTACTCAGTGCAAGTATACCTTTTACAATTTTACAATTTCGAAGCTTGTGAAGTGACAGTTCACTACTTTCAGAGGCAGCCTTTTCTATTATTGGATAGACTTAATTCATAGAATTGTAAGATTTAGGAAGGAACCTTAATGATCATCCATTTCATATCATGGGTCCTCACTTTACAGATGAGGAAACTGAGGCTCAGGAGGTTCTGTGATAACTAGTACTAAGTTCTTCCTTATACTGCCTTGAAATCTGGTTCTGTAACCTCCACATTTGTCTTGTTTTATCCTTTGGAGTCAAACAGAACAAGTCTTTTGCCTCCACATAACAACCCTAAACAATCCTTCAAATATTTGGAGATAGTTATCATGTTTCTTTTAAATCTTTTCTCCAAATAAGGAAGGACAATATTAGATTAAAATGTAGGAGAAAAACAACAAAAAAGACAATGAGAAGTACTAATGGTAAGTGATCTTAATCTCTCTTTTTGGCTTTTATTGTAACAAATGAATACATAAATATATGTCACAATTACCATTATTACTTAACTCAGGTGGAACTGGCAAGTTTGAGGCATGGATAGAGAAAAGGGAAAAAAAGAATAGAAAAAAGGATAAGAGGGAGGGGAAAGGGAATAAATGGGGTAGGGATAGGAAGAAAGGGAAATGGCTGTATGAGGTAGGACATAGAAGCGGGCACAAACAATTTTCTCAGTGGCATCAGTGCTATAAACTTGCTGACCTTAGTCTATTAGAACACTGAAAAAAAGAATAAACTTTTTGGCTAAAAAAAAATTTAGTTTCTTAGCAGAATTGAATTTTGAAACAGCTACTCTGAGGTCTTCGCTCAAATATATTTTGCCTTTTTTTGAGGGGAAGGTTGCAAGAAACAAGAAGGCCTATCTAAAAGCAAAGTTCCATGCAGTTTGGAATCTTCCTTGATTTCCCCTATGCCTGGAAATTTGACTGACTGTTAAAATGATCTACTTCTATCACTGTGATACGACAATTATGGGCTCGGCTTAGCTTCTCTTTGAGAAGCTCTCACCTATTTGTAATCCTCCTTTCTCAAATCAGAGTGGCTAGAATCAAAATGAATTATGGAATTCAGCATTCCCACAGGAAGAACGAAATGTTTAGTAAATTGTTCTAATATAAGTGCATCATGCCTTTCATTTATAAATAGATTCTTTGTCTTTATTTGGTGTTGGTGTTATTGCTTCTTT